TTAAATTGAAATATTTTCGGAAAACAAATAGAAAAATGATGTACCATTATCTCACATATCTACCGTTTCATTACTATAGCTATCAAGCAATGACTATCAGTTGAACTCGTGCATGAGCCTTTAAGATATCCGCTGGTCCCTTCTGCATGCTTAAACCCTTTCAATATAGCATTTTACCCTTCGGATAGCAGCAAGTCGAGCGAGTGGCACCACTAAAGGGGTGTTGGACAAAACAACTACGATTACAACTTAAACTAGCAGAAGTACAAAACGGATGTGACGTTGCAACTGAATTTGATTTTGTGCAACTGCCAACTGGGGCTCATGGATCTGGAAGTTGTTGCTATTGCATTTCATGGAATGCATGCATGGGCAGTCAGGCGGAAATGTGTGAGGGCAGGCAGCGAAAGTGAAACCGCTAAAAGTTCACTTGTTGGCCCTTTGTTTCGAGCTCATTCAACGTGTGCGCCACCGCCGCCAATGTAGTGCCTTTGTCCAGCTCAGCCCTTTTCTTTTTGTTTTTTTTTTTTGGCGAGGTAGAACGGAAGTTTGCGGTGGGAAATTTCATTTATGCTGACACTTGACTTGTTTTAGTCGCCCATTTCCCCAATACGCACCCAATGTCCATTGACGGCTTTAATTTGCAGAAAATAAATAATAGAAACAGCCGGTTACCTACTGGCCTTGGCGTTTAGTTTCACGCTGCTGCCTCATGAGCTTCCTACTATAATGTTCGAGTTCTGGCACTTTTTCCCATTTCCGTTTTGGACTGTCATTTGAGGCGACCGAGTGCTGTATGCCCGCCACCCCCCGACGGAAGTTCGATGAATGAACAACGGAAGAGCGGTGAAGAGCGGTGTAGAGCGGAGGAGGCAGTGGCACATACAAGACATACAAGACTGACATTTGACTGTATTGTTGTTGTTATTAGCTTTTTATAGCCATTTTCTTGTTCGCTGTTGTTGCTGCCTGCGTCCTTTTGGCATTGACTACAATTTTCTGGTTTGCTTTTGCTGCTAAATGTGACAATTTAATTGTTTTGTAATTGTTGGGCTTTTGAAGTGGCTCTGATTTATTGACAAATGAAATTAATTGTCAATTCCGAATGTTGTTAGCTTTTAGTGGCAGAAAGACAGAGAGACAGCCTGCAATCACACGTAAGTGCAAAAACGTGTTAAATGCTAGAATATCAGATATTAAAGAGTATTAGATTTTCATCTAACATTCTGCTTCAAAAGCTTTATTATTATTGTTTTAGATAATTTTAGAACTCACGAACAAGTGTTTTATTTAGATTATTCAAGTAAGTTCTGTGTTCATCTCACTAGGATGATTAGATATTTATAAAAGTATTAGAAATTAAAGAGTCTTAGTTTTCCATCTAACATTCATTTTTATAAGCTTTATTATATTTTTTTAGATAATCGTAGCACACAAGAACAAGTGTTTTAGTTGCTCTACATACATTTTATGGGAGACTATTCAAGTAAGTTATGTTTTCATCTTTATCCTGCAGATTAAATTTCGCTTTGAATATTCGTGGAGCTTACTAGGCTGCCCTAAAATTTGGCTTACCATAAATTTTGTGCACCGCCAACATGCATGTGCAACATTTTACAACTAGGCTAACTTTTAGGCGCAAGAGCACAGTCGGCAGCCGGTAAACAGACGCATAAGTAGCAGAAAAACTTTCGTAAAAGATTGCTGTGCGTGAAATTGCCGTACTTTAAAGTGATATATACGATATGTACGCAATGTTGGCTGGCGGGCACCAGAGTTCATTCTGCTCCAACTGCACTTCGTGCCGGGCTTATGTTGCTGAAATTAAGTTTGCAAAACTGATTAAGTCTCGGCATGATTTTGCTCTGTTTTGTGCTATGCAAGCAAGATAATTGAATTTTCAAGACAGCGCGCACACTGGCATCCAATAAAAATGGCCCCCCATGCCCCCCAACACTAGTTAATGACGACGGCTTGTACTATAGCGGCCTTTCACTTAACATAGCACTAAAGGAAGTACACGTATATTACACTTGCTGCATTTGCACAAGCAATTTAAGTGCATCGTTATAAATAGTGCAGGAAAATCTCTGCAGCAGGTTGCCCGAACTTGACCTTGTTTGCCAACCCAACGATGTGTTAATAAATCTTAAAGCGCCCACATGCATGTGCCACACAATGCCGGCACAACGCAACATCTGTTCATGTGTGGGGCAATCGCACCGCACATCAACAATAAAGAGAGCAGAATGCGCATCATAGAAACAGACATCAAGCTTTCCTCCCTGCTGCACCTCCCTCTGCTGTATATCCATTTGATTGTTTGTCAGTCTTACGTTTAAAATGTTTGCGGTGGCATCAACAGCTGTTATCGTCATCGTTGTCATAGCTGCCACCGCGGCAGCGCACAGTGTGCCAGAAGCTAAGAAAATGTGGAACAGAATGTGTTTTAAAGTTTTTAAGTCCATTTGAAACTGTTTACATTTCTTAGAAAGTCTACCAGCGATAGTCGATTAACTTATAACATTGATTAAAAGTTGTACAAATCCAATATTGGTGCTGCAGATACAGCTATATAGATATAACAAGAGAGAACGCTACAGTCGAGCAAGCCTGACAGTCAAAGACCCTGTACCCAGACAAACTTCCGACACTGAGATATTTGCGCCTCAAGTTAAAACAAAAAGAAGAAGAAGAAGAACGAACTTGTTTGCTCCAGTTTGTGGGCGTAGTATAACATTACTTAGAATTGACCGATTTGGATGCAAATTGAAACAAAAGTAGATAATTGTATATTAATTACGTGTGAATATACCAAGTTTGGTTAATGTGCGAAATGCAGGCGTTCATCCAGATGGATAGACAGATGGACACGCCTAGATCGATTCGTCTTGTCGTTGTGAATAAGAATATATTTATCTTCTCCTTCTGCCTGTTACTTTGCACACACCTTATACTTATACCCTTTTTACCCTACAGGTACAGGCTATAAAAACTATCGGTAATCTGAGACAGACGTTGTGGTAAAAAAAAAAATACAGTATCTTTATTCCAAAATGAAGAATAAAAGTAGTTGTAATCTTAATTAGATGAGCTGTATCTGCATACTTTGATATAGAAAACTTTTAAATATTATATTATAGGAGATTAGAGGATATTATAGGATATTATAGGAGATTATAGGAGAGGAGAGGATATTATAGGAGATTAGAGGAGATTATATTATATTAGATTATATTATATTTTTATCTTCTATTATATTATTATATTAGATTATATTATATTCTATTATATTATATTATATTATATTATATTATATTATATTATATTATTATATTATATTATATTATATTATATTATATTATATTATATTATATTTATAATTTTGTAACGCATATACTTAATTCACTTGTTTTGAAATATTTACTTAATAAAATATCTACATACTATATACAATGAGGGGTCAGCGATGTCCTGTTTTGTTTCATGAGATTGTTTTATTCTCAGTAACAGGATTCAAAAAAATTAAGTTTGATCGGGGGTTGATTGATTAGCTATCTTTACTTAATTTATCTTTACTTAATTTATGGCAACAATTCTCTAAGCAATGAAAGAAATATGAAAATAAAAAACTAATAAAGGAAAGCAATAGTTTCTTTATTCAATATTAATTGGAGAGCTTGTAAGTTGCCGAAATTCAAAAAATATGTAGCTTCGAAGCACTGTGCATTACTGTTCAGCATCAGTGTTGCGCCTGCTTGTCGCTCGCGCTGTGCTTCAAGCTGTTGTCACACCATTTAGACTTGTGCTTTAGTTTTAGTGCAAGCCATTTGTTTATCTAGAACCCGCGCCCTGGGCAGGCAAACACAAACAAGCCACGCCCACCAACAACAGCCCACACTGCTCTGACTGCGCTAATTCTGACATTGGCCATGTTGGCCGCATTGGCGCGCTGATAAATAGCTCGGCGACCGCACAACAAATTCATACACACAATACAAAGCCGCAGCATTCCTTCATTTTTTGTATGTGCATGTGTCGGTCGCACTTCTGTCATTTAAATTTATGATTTTCATAAATTTTAAACTTGTCCAGGCGCGCACAGTAAACCCACCAAGGAAGCCTTTTGGCGCTTTAAACATTCACGTGGATTCCAGTACAGTGACACTTGAGATAGTTAGTCTGAATGGGTAAAGGATTTTGTTGCCTTAAATATCAGCAGTAATTAAAAATGTAAAAACTTAAGAAAACTATCTATGCAGCTTTATTGGACAACATCCACAGAAGCTTTTCATAACCCTGTCAAAACATTAGTTAGCTAAAGGAGTTTTAAGTCGTTTTGTTTTCCATCCATCTTCTAAAATTGATTTGTAACAACACTTGTTATTAGTAGATATATTATATTTAGAATATGAATTAAAACTAAGCCTACAAAATTAGTTTGTTGCTGACATAAGTGAAAATTATTATTAAGTGGAGTAGCATCAGAAAGTGAAACGTTAAGTATTGGTTGAAAACCATTTCATGTATCAGCCTGGCAGGTTTAACTATATTTCCTATATTTTGCCAATTTACTCATATATGTATGGTTTTTTTGAACCGACTTGCCTATAGATGTGTCTACGTCTGTGGTTTGAGCTTTTCGCAACTTTCGTGCCCTGTTTGCGTTTCACTTTTGCGGCAAATTCAATGTGACGCGTGTGCCATTGAAGTAGACGTATAGTCAAGGTAATGGCGCCGAGTGGGACTCACGTCACTACCTCTGGTGCCCTTTGCTACCTTGCAGTTATTTACATGACACTCGAGCGCCAAAGTTACGTGAGTGACGCACTTGGCCTTGCTTTAAGCAAAGTGGGCATGGCTATCTACACATGTACGATATACATACGATTATACTACTATAGTAGTACTCGAATGTGTGTGTGTACAAAGTTTTATTTAATTTAAAAGTTTCTCATATAAATTAATAATTGTTGGTACTTGATTTCTTCTACTTGCAGCACAAACTGTAACCATAGCAAAGGTGAGTGTCATCCACAATTTATGATGAAATAACATAAGCCATAGATGTATATACATAGTGTACATCGTTTATGGTTGCCATAGGTTGTTCGGGTTGTATGCTTAACTAACTTTGGGCGAGTGCACGGTGGGCCATAATTAGCAAACATTGCAAATATTTTCGATTCATGAAAGAAAGATAATTAAAACAATAATTATAAGTATTTCATTATTTTAGTAAATATCACTTGAGTCTTTTTTAACTTCTCTTTTACATTAAAAGTCGAGAAATAAGTTACGAAAATTATAGATGTCTGAGAAAGGGCCTTATTGGTGAAGAAATTCTCTCACAGATTTTAAACTAAACACCTAAAACTGTTTTTTGTGACTTCATTAACAGATCATTTTTACCGAATTTATGAAATTGTTATGAGAGTTATTTGCTGTTCCATTACATATTTGTAACACCTACCTAAGTTAGTAAGTAGTAAATATATCCTTATTAGCGAAGTCAGTATTTACTGGTAGCTAGCTGCAGATTACAGAAGTTTCTATTTACCGGTAAAGATATCTTCTTAGTCGTCGAGATGCTTTAAAATTGTAAAGAAAATATGCAACTATAGTTTAGTTTGAGTATAAATTAGAGGTGAGGCTAAATGTTGACTGCCTAACTTTGAAATAAACGACTTCTTATTTATTACACTAAAAACCAAAACTAACACATCTTGCCAATCTATTCCACTGTTGCTTGCATGGCCATTAAATCATTACAGCTGGTTATGTGTGTGTAACTGTTTTTTATTTTATTTAACTGCAAACTAAAAGTGATTCATGTTAGTGCGACATTGCTATTGCTTTTTAAATATTTGAATGAATTATGGGTAATAACTGTGTAACTGCCAACTGCTTCGTAATCGTTGTTCTCTGGTTTTTATGGGAACGTTCTCTTCCTCAATTTGAAGACTTGAGTGAAACATTTTGTTAGGGCCTATGTTCCCTTGCCTTAGAAACCATGAACTTTCAGATGATCGGCTTTGGCCAGGCCCGATTTAGTCAGCCACTGGCATATGTTTTCGCGCTGGTCACCCTGAAGCTGAAGCACTTCACCGTATTGGGGATGATCGATCACGGTGCCGTTGCAGGCAAACTCCTTCTTACATGAGCGCACAATCTTCTTCAGATCGTATTCGGCTGAGAGGCCTTGGACGGTGGTCAGAGTTTTGCGGCCGTTCCGCTGTTGAATCCTTATATGTACGAGGCCGTCCTGTATGTCATCATCAGGGCCCTTGCTTGCATCAGCAAATGGGTCGCGCACGTTGAGGTTCTGTATGGACATACGAAAAGCCGAAAGTAAGCGTACACTTGTACAATTGAACGAATTAACAAGCAAAAATGCACTCCGATACGCTACTGCTATCGTTTGGGAACTTTTTCTTGTTGAACTACAAAATTTACGAATGGGAGATGTTTTTTTTTTTATTTTTATTTTATTTTTTGACTATTTTTTTCTACAGCATAACCAAAAACTGACACTAAACGTTTGTTAAATGAATGTGCACTGACTTGAAAAATCGACAATGACGCCGTAAAAACAGTTTGCTGTGATTTGTTTGTTTCGATCATAAGCTGTCAATTAATTGTCCGACTAATGGGAACCAAATGTTGTTGAACCTCAGCCAATTAGTTTCAATAGACAAGACCCAGCGATTTTTAAAGCATTCAGGCACAATTATTTTCTAATTTACGAAATTGCTGAATTTTCTTTGGAAGCAGGCGCATAAAACGGTTCATAAAATTTAATAAACGCCACTTCTTGCACCAAAACAGACAGACTACATCCCTCCAGGGGCAAGATGAGCAAGCCCCAAATGCATAAATTCAATTTCGTACAAGAAACGAAGAGCTGGCGAATAAAAATGTGGCCTGCTCTTAGGCGCTGTAGCGTAAAAATATGTTTTTGCCTGATTAATTTTGCGGCAAGCGGTTGTAAAATGGAAGAAACACATAATACAAAATGGAACAAGAAACCAAGTGCTAACCAGAACACAAAAAAGTAAAAGGCCACGCGCTGGAAAATTAGAAAATTTGCATTTAGTGAGTGGATATGTGTGTGTGTACACACACAGAAAAGTAGGCAACAAAAACTTTCGCTCACTCACATGCATATTTTTCGAAACTCACACCTGCGGTTTTATGTTTGCCAAGTTCATGATGACTTTTGTGTTTTCCGGTGCTTGCAAAAAAAAACACTCACAAAAACAACTAGAAAGCACAGGGAAATTCATGAGTTTTTGCTGGCCTTCGGCATGCATGCAATGGTACATTTTTCTCCATTTTATTATTTTTCTTAACCTTAACCAAATTAAAAAAGTTTCGGCATTACGTTTCAATTCTAATGAGACTGTCATGCTGCGAGATGTATTATGCAAATAAGGTAAGCAAGCATTCTGCCTTTCACAGAGTCGCACATCATGTTAACATTTTTGCGCTTTACAACACCTTAAGAATCGGCTTCTAAAAGCATTCGTCAAACAAATTATGCGCTTAATGCAGCACACAGCAGTTGTAATTATACAGAATTTCATGCGGCGTAAAAACCGAATACAAAACTCATTCTTCATATTCCGCATGTTTTCCCATTGGCGAACACACACACAAAACGACAAAGAACCAGAGAGAGAGAGAGAGCAAATGAGAAAGAGAGGGAACGGGAAAGATACCGGAAACTGTGCTTTAAATTGAAAATATGATGAATGTGCGCCGCTCAAAGCTGCTGCATGTTGTTTTCATTTTGCGTTGTTCGTCTGGTAAATAATGAAAAATTATATGCACGCACACGCATACATACACAGACACAGGGACAGACACACACACATACCCACAGACAGTAGTGAGTGCGCGGTAAAGAACTAAAACTGTTATGCAACACTGGCAAACATTGTGTGCCACGTGCTTTTGGGCGCTGTTAAATATAAAATTCTATGAATTTGTACGTGCATCATTTGAAAATCGTAAAACTTGCAAGTGTAGCTTGTTGTTGTTTAGTCGACTGTGCTTATATTTCTTCACCACTGCCAGCAGACTGTTTGTAGGTACTAGAGATGGGCACAAATCTGCCACACACTGTTTAAATGCTTAAAGGAAATCGAAATCGGAAAATCAGTTATCATACAAACAAACAAATAAACCCTGAACACTTCGTCTATTTGTGGAAAAAAACAGAGTTGATAAGAAGATGAAGATCGAAGGATCTGGAGCTGTGTAAAAAGGCGGTAGAAAATCTGACCTTTAGACCTGCCATTAATGCCACAAAAATATCTAAAAAACGAGAGAAACAATTGAGTTTAGTACGCATTAATTTAAATAAGTCTATGAGTGCACAGTTATATTGTATAGCACTATTTTTGAGATTATGTTTTGATATTTGGATTTAAAAAATTTATTTTTATCATTAATTTTAATCAACTGCTGAATGTATTGCAGGACGCTCGATTCTAGTATTCTATTCGTTGTATGAATTGAATGGAATTTTTTATAAACTGCTCATTTTTTGCTATTTTTTATTTATTTCATTCAATTTAATAAAATCACAATATTATCTAATAGCGAAACCGAATAGATGGGAGGATTTTATTTGATCAACGGCCAGCTATGTCCCGATTTACAGCATAAAGTAATCAGAGACGTTATTAGCCCTAACGATAAAAAGAAAGAAATAGAGAAGATGCAATTAAATTAAAAGAAAATAAAAATGAAATTAAAATAAAACACCAAACGTAAAATAAGAACTAGTAAAGTAAAATTGAATTTAAAACCTTAACAAAAAAATGTATTACGTTAACTAAAATGTTCATTTTGTCCACTGAAATTGTAGCGGTTTAAATAATATTCGATTGTTTTATTTACAATAACTTTTGCTCCTGTTGTAGTTTTGTTTTGTTGTGTCACGATGGGTCACGACCAAAAACACGGTCCATGTCCACCTTTAGTGTTTATGTGCGTGTTTGTGAGTGTTTATGTGTTCTGTCATAAACGCCCCAAAAAGGTAAACTGCCTTCTGCATTTTTTTTTTGTTCTGTGGTTATATTATTTTTTATATTTCTGTAAAAGCGCTTACTCTTTATGTAATTATAATATTACTGATGAGGATGATGGGGATGATGGCAATGGTGATGATGACGATGACGATGAAGAAGACGATGATTTTTCATGATGCTGAAGCATGCACTGTAATTTGTCTTAACTTCTCGGTTTATTTGCTCCAGTTTACGACTATATGTGTATGCGGCTGCCAGAAGTTGAATTAAAATTTTATGCGCTACTGGGCCATGTGTAAAAATTCATAATTTGCACTCTCGTAAATTAAATTAAAGCCCAAAAAATTGCAGTCAACTTGATTTATATCTGGGAAATGAAATGTTAGCTTGTTATAAAACTCAGCCCTGTAATTTGCCCATACCATCTATTTGATAAATTATACTACATAAATTAATTGTAGAGATCTCATACTCATTAAGCAATACGATACAGTGGCCTACAAGCGTGTTTTTTTGTGTCCCGCGCGCATTGTATGCTAATTGCTTCATAAACTCCACCTAATAACTTAATCCCACACCACTTAGCACACAGCTCGTATACCGTATACACAATCCTAGGGCTTAGCGGTTGGCGTGTGGAATAGAAATAGAAGCTGCGCTTTTATCTACCAGTCGAATGGCACAATCAATATTTAGGTTAAACTGCACGTTGGCATGTGATAAACGCGCTCTAATGAACGTTTCGTTGTCATTCGGAGCGCCAGTCAACTGTCTGTCATTCCATTCATTCAGTCATGCAAACAAATAAAAACGTTTTTATTGTAATCCGCAATGTCAAAACATTACAACGGATGTTTGGTAAGCGATACGAGTAATGGAACTGTTACAAACACACCATACATACATAGATCCATAGAACACAAGTCGTGTGTTTAGGCGAGTATCTACACCTGTATGTGTATGTGTGTATGTGTATGTGTGATGGCTTTACTACTATTTTCTACCTCCGTTTGCCAAAGTCGCCTCGTCTTCCGAGCATGGCACAAAAACTATAAAATGCGTAGCCCAGAAAAAATAAAGAAAAAAGTAAGTGAAAAAAAGGGCGAAAAATAAAAAAGGTTTAAGGCTTATTGATTTTCCATTGATAAATGGTTGACATTTTGTGCCGTCTCTTTTGCTGCACAGGTTAAATAGTTAAAGAATGTCTGCCACATTAAAAAACAATTTCCGCTAAATCACTTTTAAGCGGGGCACGCACACACACAAAAGAGGCGTGGAAGATGGAGATGATGAAGCGTTCATAAGGGTGACCATGCCAGGTTTCGAAAATTTATAGCAATTTTAAAAGGGATTTCAAAAGGGGTAATAGTCTTCGGCACAGAAATGTTAATACCTTAATACAATTCTAATATCAAATTGAGCAATTTTTAATTATTTGTAAATTATTATTTAATGTTTCGGCTACGGTATAAAAGTTGTCTTTCTGCAAAAAATAAAATTAAAGATTTTCGAATTTTATAACACATTCATACATTTTATTAAAATCCTTATTCGAATGTATTTTTTCCTCACTATTTTTATTTAAGAAATCGAACGTTAACTTCATGTTTTAAAATATGAAATCGTTAGCAATTAAAAATAGTATGGAGTTGCAACATGAAGTTAGAAACTTAAAATAACATTTATAATGAAACAAAAATGGTAACAATTTCTTCAATTTAATTCAAAATGTTTGCGACCTATCATTTGTTAATTATAATATAATATAACGACTATGACATAAATGATTATAAATTGCATAAAATATTCCTAAATATAATTCGACTTTTCATTCGAATGTATTTTTTAAGAAGTTCAACTAAACACGTCATGTTATTAAATATTGAAACGTTGGCGATTAAAGCTTAAGTCGTACGTAAAATAACCATAATAAAGAAACTGCAATAGTCAATTTAATTCTAAATATTAGCGACCTCTAACGAGGCTTATGTTTGCTTTGAAAGTTTACATTTCTTGTATTTTCAAAAAAGATTCAATATTTGTTCTTACATGTATGGTCACCCTATTGTGGTGCTGTGAATAGTAAAGTTTCCGCAGAGGCAAGGCCAACCATAAAACAGTACCTTATGTAACAAATCAAGTGCCTGAAGGTTATTTTTTATGGCCCTGCTGCTTTGTGTGAGTGAGCTATATATTTGGGCATATCGCCTGGCATACTAGGTTGCAGACGAACACGTAGTCAGCTTCGATTGTAGCGCATAAGAATTTCAACTATACTCGATCTAGACTAGTTTTCTCCCTGCGGCAAAAATGAAAGAAAAAGAGAAAAATCTCAAAGAAATATTAATAAAAGATGAGCAACATTACAGTTTTGCTTGCTACTACATTTTTTCTTCACTTCTTAGGTACGTCCAACCCAAAACCGTAAAAGTAAAAAA